CACGTACGCACGCACGCACGCACGCACGCACGCACGCTGACCCGCGGTCGCCGTCACACTTTCATATGCGCGGAAATTTGACGGGTCGCACGCCCTTACCACTAGAGTCGCACCCTATAGAGTGTAACTAACAGTGACGAACATTGATCATAGCTAGCTAGGCTAGACTATAGTTATTATGACGCTCATCACACGCTATAGTGTGAAGAACGATTAAAGGAAGCCATCGGCAGGGAAGCAGAGGATGCGGGAAGAGGAAGCCATCCTCCGTACGGAAGCAGAGAATGCGGAAAGAGGAAGCCATCCGTACGGAAGCAGAGAATGCGGGAAGATGAAGCCATCCGTACGGAAGCAGAGGATGCGGGAAGAGGAAGCCATCCTCCGCACGGAGGTAGAGAATGCGGGAAGAGGAAGCCATCCGTACGGAAGCAGAGGATGCGGGAAGAGAAAGCCATCCTCCGTACAGAAGCAGAGAATGAGGGAAGAGAAAGGTGCGGGAAGAGAAGCCTTAAAGGAGGCAGAGTTTAAGATGCCTGCGACCACCAGCCACCCTCTCTCGCACGCGCGTCGGGCCGCGGTATTTACAAATGGCGTTTGTTCTCTTGTTTTGAAGGTTTGTTAAGTCATGGTCGAGTCAAAACAAATCAAAGCAGCCAATCAGAAGAGCCCAAAATTCTGCAATGGATATAACGTGTAGGAAAAAAAATTCGCCGCCGGGCGAGGGCCACCGGCAACGATGGTGACTCAATGAATGTGTATCAATTAGCGACGAGGCGTGATCATGAGAGCAGCAGGCAGCAGCAGCAGCCTGGCACTGCTCTCTCACGACCGCCGCCACCGCAGCAGCAGCAACGCCGAAAAAGCCACTTCAAAAATGAGAGACGCGAGAAAGCACTTTGCACTTTGCCTTCGTCGTCATCATCGTCATCGTCTTCGTCGCCGCGGCCCCGTGACGGCATCGAGCGGCAATTCTTTGATGTACAGCATCTCGGCTGTCGGCATCTCCCCGCATCCCCGCATCCCCGCATCCCACCAGGTTCGCGGGGGGGTCAGAAACCCCTAACAGCGCCATCTATGGCCAACTCGCTAAACTAGGGGCCTGTTGTTGGGAAGCAGTGTAAATAGCTAGGACTATCCCCGCGATATGTGGCGACCTGACCCCAGCCTCCTGTATGCGCGGGAGAAGCGTCTCACACAACATCCCCAGCGGCGCGAGCAGCAGAAGAGGGAATGAATCTACATAGGGCTTCATCCATCACGGGGCATCAGCTTCCCCCTTTCGCCGCATTTCGAGCCCCGCAGGGAGGAGGGGGAGGAGGGGTGACCGACGGGCGACACAAATCTGCCGTGTGTGAATACATCCCGGGAGGGTAGCTCACAAACACAGCCCTCATATCCAGATACCTCGTGCAGCTTGCTACCGGAGCTAGATGTGGACACGAGAATCGTAAATCTCGGAATTGGATTCAATTCATTTAATGTGAAGCTGGCTACCGGAGCTAGATGTGGACACGAGAATCGTAAATCTCGGAAACCCTTGCACTCTCCGCGAGGCCTTGTCCCTCCCGCATTGTGCAGTCGTCATGGTCCAGCGAGGATAGCGCGCGGGGGCGGTGGTGATGGCCCAGAAACGGGCTAGCTTTGCTAATAACTGCATTAAGAGATCTGCTCTCTCTCGTCGCGCCAGGTCCGCATGCTCATCGCCTGCTCTCTCTCTCTTCTCTCATCCTCGCTCTCCTTTATGCACTGCTAATTGCATGGTCTTCATGCGGGGCCATCGATTACGACGATACACTGTCGCGGCACCGCGCGCAAGGAGGGGAGGGAGGGCGGGGGAGTGAGACAAGGGCACAGGGTGGAAAGGAGGGAGGCGGGGGGGAGGGACAAGGCACAGTGGTGGAGGAGAGGGCGGAGGGCAGGGGAGGGGACAAAGACACAAGAAGCGGGGGAGGGACAAGGGCACAGGGTGAAGGGAGGGAGGGCGGAGGGGGAGGGACAAGCGCACAGAGTGGCAGGGAGGGGAGGGTGGTGGAGAGGGGACAAGGACAACAGGGACGGGGGAGGGGACAAGGCATCAGGGCAGGGGAGGGGACAAGGGCTACAGGGTGGAGGGAGGGTGAGGGCGGGGGGAGGGGACAAGGCCACAGTGGGAGAGAAGTGGCAGGGACACAGCGCTGTGGGGGAGGGGGTGGGGAGGAAAGGGCGCAGGGCAGTGGAGAGGGCACAGACTGGCAGTCACCAAAATCTACCGCCACCACTATGCAAGCGGAACATGGATCAGGGAGTTTGAAGGTCAAGAGTGTTTGATGGTCGGAGAGTTTGAAGGTCAGAGCGCAGTAAGATTGAGGATGGGTGGCTAGCTCTCGCCAGCAGCAGATGCAAGATCGCAATGTGACAGTACAGCATAATCTACAATGCACGTGCGCAAATCTGTAATCGCCATGGCGACAACACCGCCGCCGCCACTGACGACGACGGACAATAGTTAACGCGCCACTGTCGAACCTCTGCCGCCATTTTGATTAATCAGCGCTGCGGCGCCCCCTGGTAGCAGGATCGGTCGTCCTCACACGTGAAACGCCGGCTATGCCATGAGGGCGCCCCCTGGCGGGGACCTCACACCTCCGTGCAATCGGTCGTCGCCTGCTTGACGTCTTGTTTCGTCGTCACCGCTGCCGCCGCTGCCGCAGCCGCAGCTGCCGCCGCCAGCTTCGACTTGTCTGGCTTCTCCTTCTTGTGGAAGAGTCCGGAGAACTTGAACGCCTGGTTGGGAGACTTCCCGGTCGCTGCGGCCGCCGGAAGTTTCCCCGTCTGCGGCGACGAGTCGCGGCTGATCGAGCTCGCAGTCGAAGACTGTAACCACGGCAACGCACACGCGTGAGAGAGATGACAGCGAGGTCACGAGGTCACGATCACTGCATGACCCCGACACGGGGAACGCAATCAAATGATGGGCTAGCGACAACTGGTTCGCTCGTTAACTTGCGATTTAATGAATGATGCTGCGATAATTATAATCATGATAATATAATTATAATTATATTATGATAATTGTACGATAATATAATAATATGATAATTATAATAATTATAAATGACAGTTTTCGTTACTTAGATGACTAATTTAATGAAATTGTTCGTTTGCGATGCATTCAACGTCGATTAAGCAAAGAGGGATTCAGAGCTTAAAAAATTCAATATACTATATATATATAATATATATATATATGTCTAGGTCAACGAGGATATATACGTACCATGCCGCTATCCAGTGAGCCCGCACTGCCTCTGCGCTTCAGTTTGCCACCTGCAGGAGAAGAAAAGAGCTCGTGAGCGGACCAATGTCCGATTACTCCACGAGTCACCAACTCATCCACCACAGTGAGATTTTCGTGAACAAGTAAACACAGAAAAACATACTGACAATCCAACAAACGAATCAGCCCACATACAAAATAAACAAAACTAACAAAGAAATAAACTAACAAAGAAATAAATCAACAAACCAATATACCAACAAACGAACAAATCAACCTACAAACAAAATAGACAAAACAAAAACAAACAAATTACACAACAAACAAATAAATCAACAAACAAGCCAACAAACACACAAACCAACCAACGAACAAACGAATCGACTCACAATCAACAAAAATTAAAACAACAACAACAACAACAACCAAACGAACAAACAAACACAACACAACACAACACTCACTCTGGTCGGCTAGATCGAGCAGCGAATTGGAGAGCGCCGATCGTTTGAGCGGACCCGCATCAACGCTTAGCCGATCCTGCGCTCCTCCTCCTCCACCTCCTCCTCCTCCTCCTCCGCCGCTGGAGCGAGACTCCGTATCTCCATCCTCCACGACGCCCGAGTCACGGCTGGAGATGTAGTGCGGACCTCCTGCTCCTCCGCTGCCTCCGCTGCTGCCGGTGTCCTTGTTGCGTCCGTGCCGTGACACCTTGTGCTTCTGTAACTCGTCGTCTAAGCGAAGATTCTCCATCTCATCCATCTGTGGGGAGGAGGGAAAGAGCTTTATTAGCGAGAACGACGGAGAGGGGGGTAAGAGGAGAGAGAGAGGGAGGTAAGAGGAGAGAGAGGGAGGTAAGAGGAGAGAGAGGGAGGTAAGAGGAGAGAGGGGGAGGTAAGAGAAGAGAGAGAGGGAGGTAAGAGGAGAGAGAGAGGGAGGTAAGAGAAGAGAGAGGGGGAGGTAAGAGGAGAGAGAGGGGGGTAAGAGGAGAGAGGGGGCGGTAAAAAGAAAGAGAGAGGGAGGTAAGAGGAGAGAGAGGGAGGTAAGAGGAGAGAGAGGGAGGGCCCAGGTCGAGGAGAGAGGGACGTGGGGCGCTGGGGGGGTGTACATGGCGGTGGATAGAAGAGTGACGGAGAGATGACGGCGCGCCCCGGTAAGAGGAGCGAGAGCGGGAGGGCTGAGAGAGCGAGAGCGGGGACGGGGTACAGACGGGAGAGAGAGGGACGGTTATTAGAGAGCGGAGAGAGGGAAGGCAGGTAAGAGGAGAACGAGGAGGGAGGGGGTAAGAGGACGCCGGGGGGGGTAACGAGGGATCGGAGAGAGTGAGATTCGGGCGTAAGACGTAGGTGAGAGAGACGAGGGGAGGGGTAAGAAGAGGAGCAAGAGGTAGGTAAGAAGCAACGAGAGAGGGGGCGGGGAAGATGGAGAGAGAGGCACGGGGTCTGGTTATAGGAGGAATGAAGAACGGGGGTCTGAAGTGACGCGATGATCTGAGACAGGTTAAGAGGGCTGACGACATAGCAACGCACAGGTGCCCCCGGCATCCCCCCACCGGGCGCCCGGCACACCACACCGACGATCCCCGTAAGAGGTGGCCGCCGAAAGAGGAGGGTAAAGGAGAGGAGGGCGGAGGTGAACGAGAAGAGGGAGGGAGGTACGAGGGGTGCAGAGGTGGGAGGGGAGGGTAAGACCGGATAACCTTATGAGAGAAGAGGAGAGCAGACGAGGTACGAGGGAATACACGGATCAGGGCGGACATTGGGTAGGTGATTCGATGCGTGCGACACGGAGTCAGGAGTTTGGCTAATAAAAGATGACGAGGGGGGGACGGTAAGGAGAGAGGAGCGGACGTAGAGGAGGAGGGGGACCGTGGGTCAACGAGGGGGAGGAGATCGGATAAGCAAGGCAGGACCGAGGGCTGTGGATGTACAGAGGACGAGAGGGGGGACGTCGGTAAGATGATTGGGGGGGGACAGGTCAAGACGCGAGAGAGAAGGGCGGGGTAATAGAGACGAGGGTGGAGCGTAAGAGGAAATGAGAGGGGGATGGTAGAATGGAATGAGAGAGGGAGGGGGTAAGAGGGGAGTACAGCTACTGGAGGAGAGGGAGGGATAAGAGAGAGAGAGTGGGGGAGAAGAGTAGAGGGAAGAGACGAGGAAGTAAAAAAGACGACGAGAGGAGAGGGTAAAGAGGGAGAGAGGGGGAGGTCAAGAGGGGAGAAAGGGAGTAAGGGGAGAGGAGGGGGTAACAAAGGGTCAAGACGAGGAGATGGACGGGCTAGGGCAGAGAGGGAGAGAAGGGGAGAGCCGCTGACGGAGGAGGGAATATGAAAGGCAGCGGAGGGTGCGCGTTGAGAATCGGCAGCAGATAGGACGAGAGAGGTAAGAGGAGCGACGGAATGGAGATGACGAGGAGGGTAGAGCGAGGAGGGAGAGATCGAGCCCGCGTGATGGTGGAGAGGCAATTGGAGTAGAGGAATCGCCAAGAGGGGGTACACAGAGAGAAGAACTAACGGAGTGGAAGTCTGATGTAGAGAGGCGATAGCGCATAAACGAACGAGGTGCACATCTGCTATCCTACGTTCGATTATGCCGAGAAACGTCCGTGTATTCTGGTGTCACGGTTCGTCGTGCGATAGAACCACGCACTAGCGCGCTCCGGCTCCTCCCCTTTCTCTCTGGTGATGGCTCTCTCCTTCTCTCGGTCTCACCTCACCACCCTTCCCTTTCCTCTCACCTTCCTCTCCTATCTGCATCTCTCACTCACGCTCCACTGGATCTTTCTCTCGCCTTCTCTCTCACTCTCCTCTCCTCTATTCTCTCTCCTCTCTCTCTATCTCTCTCTCTCTCCATCCTCTCTCTCTCGCTCTCTCTCTCTCTATCTCTCTCTGATCCGTCTCTTCTCTCTCTTCTCATCTCTCTGTCTCGTCTCTCGGCTCCCACTTGTGCTTTCCTCCTAGCGTCGCTCTCCCGGTCGCCTCTTCTCTCGGATGCTGATCTGTCCTCTTCACTCTCTCTCTCTCTTCTCTCTCTCCTCCTCGCTCTCTCTTCTCTCTCGGCTCTCTCTCTCTCGTCTGTCCTCTCTTCTCTCGTCTGCTCTGACGGTGGCTCTCTTCTTCTCTTTCGTTTCTCGTCTTTTTCTCTCTGCTCTGCTCTCCTCGTCTCTCTCGTCCGTCTCTCTCTCTCTCTCTCGTCTCTCCTCGCGCTTCGCCTACTGGGGCTCCTCTTCCTCTCGTCTCTCTCTGCTCTCTCTCTGTCGTCGGTTACTCTCGTCCTCTTCCCATACTTGTCAGTTGCTCCCTTGACGTTCAACACACACACACCTGACTCGGCGTCACAATCAAAATTATTGATGCAAATATTTCAATAAGCTTCTTCCTCACGTCGAGCCGTCGCCTCTGCTCTGATGCTCTGTCTTCACTCTCCTGCCCACTATCGTTCGCCCACAGGAACGTCTGTTCGTCATCCTCCTGCTACCCTTATTATCCCTGCCTTAGCCCTTTTCGGTGCCTGCGCCTCCTCCTTCCTCCCCGTCCTCTCCTCCTTCCCTCTTTCCTTCTCCTCCTGAGTGCATTCCTGCCTTCCCCTCCTCACCCCTTCACCTCCCTCGCCGTTTCCTCCTTCCTGCTTCCTCATCCCCTCCCTTCCTTCCTCCTATCCACTTGGGCCTCGCCTCCTCCTCCTCCTCCTCCTCCTCCCCCTCCTCTACACTACCGCTCACCTCCGCGATGGCCTCCTTCAGGTCCTCCGTGAACTTTGACCTGTCGTGTTCGTTGCGAGCGTTGAAGATGATGTGCACCTTGCCATCGATCGTCGGCATCAGCTTCAGACCGTAGTTGTGATCTAAGGAAGAGACAACAGCAGCCGCACGGTCACCCACCTGGGCGAGAGAAAGGGGGAGAAGCTGCGTGCACACACACGCGCGGGTGCAGACGTAGGATAGATGCATAATAAAAAGATAAAGAAAGATGGATAAAGAAATATAGATGAAGAAAGATAGACGTAAGATAGATGGATAAGAAAAAGATAAAGAAGAAGATGGATAAAGAAATACAAACGAAGAAAGATAGATAAGAAAAAGATAAATAAATTTAGACGAAAGATAGATGGATAGAAGAAAGATAAAGAAAGATGGATAAAGAAACACAGATAAAAGATAGATGGATACAAAAAAGATAAACAAAGATAGATAAACAAAGATAGACAAAACGTTGATGAATGAGAGAAAGATAAAGAAAGAGAGATAAAGAAACACAGATAAAAGATAGATGGATACAAAAAAGATAAACAAAGATAGATGAAAGAATAGATGGATACGAAAATGATAAAGAAAGATAGATGAAGAAAGATAGACGAAACATAGATGGACGCTGGAGTCTCGTTTCCAACAGGATTCATAAGGGCTTCATCGGAGGCTGCGTCTGTCTAGCTGATGACCTTTCCACACACGACGTCACATGTGACAATGTGCAGGGTTCTCGTTTTTTTTGCAAAGAATTGTGATTGGTTTGCCTGCTCTATCCACAGCAATTTCCTGCATGGCCAACACACTGCTGATGGCTATATGAGATTAAATGCAAACAGGACTACCTGATTTTTTTTACAGATATTCAACGGAAAAAAAGAATCAGTTCTATAACGTTAATGCTGGTGTAATTACTGTGAAGTATTGCCTTTTAGGGTGAACACTGAACACAGCCTGCGGTTTCCAGAAGCTTTAGTAATGCCAGTGCTTTTTGGCCTGATACGATTATTGCAGCTACTGCTAATTGTCTGTTTACTATGGAATGTACACGCTATCGCCAGCTGTTCGTGGAGGTTGACTGACACGGTGCTCTTTTCAGTGCGAGCAATTATCTTTGAAAACACGAGGAAAACATGACATTGGGAAATGTATTCTTAAAATAAATAAATGAGAGAGAGAGAGAGAGAGAGAGAGAAATGTCAAATGCAAAACTAAATTCTAAACGAGCAGTGCCTATTTCACCGTTCTGATAGAAAAACTATAGAACCCTTGCTGCATCTGACTGTGTGGGCGTGCATGTGCATGTGCATTGCTGTGGTGGCCGTGGGTTTTTTCATCGAATCCTACTTTCTGGCATAACATCACGCATAATTTCACTGCATGCCGGGAAAAGTTTGTTTACATGAAAAGTTTGTGATAATTTTTGCATTGAAGACGATATACAATATTACTTACATAGTAGTTCTAAGTAAACTATTATATATAAATATATATATATAACTTGCAGCATCAACTCAAAAGGATGGCATTGTGATTTCTTGAAAAACTTACATTTCAAAACTTAATAATCTACTAATATTTATGGGATTTTTTTGGTATGTATGGCCGGCCGCCTTTGCGAAATGATTTCCGACCGTAATACCTGCAGAAATGAGATAACGCGATTCAACTACAAGGTGCTGCCATCTAGTGTCTGATGGGGTGCAAAAATCGTTACCAGGTGGGTCGTGTAGTGAAAGGAGATAACATGAACTTTCCTAGGTTATTCCAGGCATTTACTGTTATCTATTCTTGGATGCATGTACCTGAACATTCCCATTTGTCATCCCCACTCTGCTCCTGTGCCCTCTTACTCCTATCTAAACTCCCACCCCTTATCCCTCCTTATACACAGAACCCCGTGTACCACGCCCCTTAACAGTCCCCACTATGGAACACCTATAAAGGGTGAACATGCGGAACTCACAGCTGTTCGCGAAGGTCTCCACGTGCATTCCGCTGAGCGGGAACATCTGCCGGTAGCTGTACGTCACCGCTCCCTTCTTCTTGCTGAAGATCTTAGTTATCTGCAACAATGCACACCAGGTGTCACCACCAACTAGCAACACACGAGTAATTTTCCTTTTAAACTACGAGAATAGAGATGTTTTATAGATTTTTGGATACTGTATACTGTAAAAGAAATTAGATATTTATTTAGATATTGTTATATATATAATTAGATCATTCGTACAATACTATACTATACTATATATATACTAACTCCTATGAAGAGTTGGATCGCATTGGTTCAGGTCTGACCTTTCTCGTCTCCACTGATCACGCCTCCTTCGCTCTCCCTCACCCTCCCCCTGGAGCCTTCCTCTTTTCCTGACCGGCAGCAATCTCCCCAATGAGGTCCAGTTGAATCGAGGAACGTCGCACGCTGTGAGCCGCCCGATTCTCCTTCCGTTGCCTGTTCGCGGATCGGGAACCTCGTAGCAGCGCAGTCGCAAGCAGTCCGGCGGCATGCGAGGTGAGGAACCTGCCTGTCAACACATGAGAACAGATGAACGCCAAAAGAGACGGAGCGAGGACCGGAAGCGCGAGGAGAAGAGGAGAGGGCAGGACGAGGCGATGGGAGGGAGGGAAGGGAGGGAGAGGAGATAAGGAACCTCGTAGGACGGCGTAGTAGCAGACGAGTTCGGCGGTGCGGCAGGTTGTGAACCTGCTTGTTATACCACATGAGAACGACGATGAGATGTCAAGGATGTTAGGCAGGGAGAGGGGGAGAGGAAGGGAGGGGGAGGGAGGGGACGAGAGGGCAGGGAGGCCGAGAGCGGAGCGGATGTATAGAGAAGGCAAGAAGGTGGTAGGAGAGGAAGAGCTGGGACGTGGGAGATATCTTGAAAAGACAGCAAGGGGAGTCACCGAAAAGACGAGAACATGACGAGATGTGGGCGTGCGGAGACAGTGACAAGACCGTGAGGATCACTTCAAGAACTGTCCGATCATTACATTAAAGAAACATTCCCGACCAACATTTCTCTGCCGTTGCCTGCCCCTCGTGCATCCAGCCACCACCGTCTGACGCTCGACACCGCCACTGCCACCAGGGCGGTGGCGTGCCTGTACCTCATGGACATCTGACACCAGTCTAGGCTCACACCTGCCCGTGCGACCAGCGGGCGCCTGTACCTCACGTGGCATTTACCACCAGGTCTACGGCTCACACCACACCCAACCGCCACCACGGCGGGGTGCGCATGTACCACTGGCATCTACCACCCAGTGTGCGTGGTCTGAGCCGCCACTGCCCACCAACGGGGGCGCCTGGACTCCCCTGGCGAGATCTACCACCAAGTCTACCGCTCCCACACCTAGTCACCACCAGGGAGTCGGGGTGCGCCACTTATGCAGCCGGAACTGCGCTCTTACCACCAGTCTACGCTCACACCTGCCACCGCCACCAGGGGGCGCCTGTACTCACCGGCTTCTTGCCGACGATCGTCTGCTCGACCTTCATGACCTGCGTGATGTGGTCCATCGCGGCCTTGAACTCAAACGACTGGATGCGGGTGTAGATGCCCTGCAGCATCTCCTCGTCCACGTCGTGGCCGTCGTCGATCCCTGAAAGCAGCAGCGACCAATCGGCTGTCAGCGAGGCGGGAGGGGGCGGGGCGTCGCGTGCCGTCGACCAATCGGCAGTCAGCGAGGTGGGAGGGGGCGGGGCGTCGCGTGTCGTCGACCATTCGGCAGTCAGCGAAGCGGGAGGAGGGGGCGGGGCATCGCGTGTTGTCGACCACTCGGCTGTCAGCGAAGCGGGCAGAGGGGGGTGGGGCCACGTTTGTCGTCAACCAATTGGTGGAGGGGATGTTTCTGAATGATTAATAAGTCAACCCGCTCTCTCTCTCTCTCTCTCTCTCTCTCTCTCTCTCTCTCTCTCTCTCTCTCTCTCTCTTTCTCTCTCTCTCTCTCTCTTTCTCTTTCTCTCTTCCTCTATTTATCATGATCGTGATCATGAGTGTGAAGTTAGCGAACATGTAGCAGAAAACATTAATAGCAATCCCTGCCAGCAGGTGGCAGCACGTGACGTCACTCGCTCGCATGCTTGCTTCACAAATCTATGTATAAACTCTTTAGATTATAGATCGTAACAGGAGTGAAAAAACACATTTGTTTTTAATAACTCCTGATAGATAAGTATTACTGGTGGTTATTATTCGCGCTGTATACATATATCAGTGCTCGGCATCCGGCAACGCATTCCACGATGATGCTACCTTCTCCCCCTCTCCCCCTCTCCCCCACCTTCTCCCTTCTACACTCACCCTTGAGGTTCTTGATGAAGTCTTCAGGCTTCATGCGTCGCTCTTGCTTCACGTTGGGGCTGTGCAGGTCCGTGTTGAGCATGATGATCGCAAAGGCGAGGATGAAGACCGTGTCCTCGCCGTGCAGACGCGCGTACACGTCGGGGTTGCAGACGCAGTAGCGATGCCCAAACACTTCCATCAGCCGCTCTATCTTCTGCGCTTCACCCTGCAGGCAGAAGAGAGAGGGTAAAGGGTTAAGGGTGTAGTTGTAGAGGATGTGGGGATGGGGGGGGGGAGGAGACAGCAGCAGTGAGGGTGGAGGGTTGCAGACGCAGTAGCGATGCCCAAACACTTCCATCAGCCGCTCTATCTTCTGCGCTTCACCCTGCAGGCAGCAGAGAGAGGGTAAAGAGTTAAGAGTGTAGGTGTAGAGGGTGGAGAGTTAGGGGTGAGGGGGTGTGGGAAAAGCAGCAGTAGTGAGGGTGTAGGGTTAGTGGGGTGGTTATATGAAGATAGGGGGGTGGTAACTGTAGGATTGTGGGGTGTGGGTGGTAGGGGAGGAGATGGAGGTGATGAGAGAAGGATGGAGGGTTAGCGTGACTTATGGGGGGGAGTAACAAAGCCCAGCTGCTGCAACCACACCCGCCCCCGCACGATCATTCCTCGCTGCACCTACCACCCCCGCACGCAGCCTCGCGAGAGTTGACCCCCCCCCCACCCACCCGTGCAATTACTCGTAATACATCATCGCTATACGTCTTCTCACGGAATTAATTACTGGTCTTAATCAGCAATCATTGCGGATTACTGCAGTGTTTCGCAACCGCTGCTGCCCCAGTGCGTGGGAGGCACGCCGCCGCTGCCTTACTTGTGGTTATAAGTTATGGTTAGGGTTAGGGTTATAGCTTTCAGAGTTGGTATTAGGGTTGAGAACTTGAGGTTGCTTGTGGTTATAAGTTATGGTTAGGGTTATGGTTATAGCTTTCAGAGTTAGTATTAGGGTTGAACTTTTTAGGGTTAGGGTTAGGGTTGAGGTTTTCAGGGTTGGTGTTATACTTGAGGTTGTATCTGGTTATAGTTAGGGTTACGGTATGGTTCTGGCTTTAGGTGTTTCGTTTTAGTTCATGAAGTTAAGAAGTATAGTTACATTTATAGCTACGTTAAGAATTAGCCCTAATGTCTGTGGCACATGAATGACCGCGTGCACATACATGTTCACGCACTCTCACTCATCACTGATGCTGTGTGTTGTTTTATAGGGTTTATTGTTATTGCTATTGTATTATTTGTTTTATTGTTTTGCAGGGCGTTTGTTGACGACATAGACCTCTCCAACATGGCCATCGACGTCGCACTCAGGAAGTTCCAGTCCTACTTCAGACTGCCCGTAAGTAGTGGCGCCATCTAATGGCAGTGTAACTCACCCAGGGTGCAACGACGCCATCTAGTGGTGGCTTAACCCACCCAGGGTGTGGTGGCGCCACCTAGTGGCTATGTAATTTATCTAGGCCGCAGTGCTGCCACCTAGTGGCTGCGTAACCCACCCAAGCTACAGCGGTGCCACCTAGTGGCTGCGTAATTCTTCCGGGCTGCGGTGGCGCCTCCTCCTCAACCCTAATACCAACTCTGAAAGCTATAACCCTAACCCTAACCATAACTTATAACCACAAGTAACCTCAACCCTAATACCAACTCTGAAAGCTATAACCATAACCCTAACCCTAACTTATAACCACAAGTAACCTCAACCCTAATACCATCTCCGAAACTAAGCTCGTCTAAGCTGACTGTCTGAGATAAAAGAGAGCGATTGTCGGCACTTCGTTCGAGTGTCTCTGTCCACGAGTTTTTCTAAATCTAGAAACACTGCCGCGGCCAGTAACACGTACGCACTCCCTCCCCCTCCTCCTCCCCCTCCTACCCTCCGCCCCCGACCTCAGCAGCAGCCGACAATGGTGTGTCTTGTATGCGGCCGTAAAACTGCGTGAAATCCTCTTTAGTTCTCTAATTTTATCCGAGGAATTTTACTGGCGTGACTCGTGTGTGCGTGTGTGTGCGTGTTTGTATGTGTGTGCGTGCGTGTGTGTGTGTGTGCGTGCGTGTGTGTGCGTGTGTTTGTGTGTGTGTGTGTGTGAGCGCGCGCGCGTGTGCGTGTGCGTGTGTTTGTGTGTGTGTGTATGTGTGTGCGCGTGCGTGCATGCGTGCGTACGTGCGTGCGTGCGTGTGTGTTTGTGTGCGTGTGTGCGTGTGTGTGTGCTTGTTTGTTTATGTTTGTATGTGTGTGTGCACGTGTTTGTGTGCGTGCGTGCGTACGCGTGTGTGTGTTTGTTTGTGTCGGTGTGAGTGCGCATGTGTGCGTGCGTGCGCGTGTGTGCGTGCGTTCGATGAGTAAGTAGTATAGTAACGGCACCTGTCAGTGCCACCCGTGCTAGGATGAACACCGAGAGAGAAAACCAGTCAAGGCCAACAACAGCAGCTACTTACAAATCGTGTTAAATTGCGTGAGCGTCTTCCGACTGCTAGTCCCACGCTCCCCCGTGTGCGAGGCTGCGAGCGGGTACCTATGTCTGTCGGAGAGCTGATTGATCGATGTGTCTAGCTTTAGCTCTAGCTCTCTCTCTCTCTCTCTCTCTCTGTCTATCTATTCATCTATCTATCTCACACACACGCTCTCTCCCCCTCTCTCTATCTCTCTTCTATCTCTCAATCTCTGTGTGTATATATATATAT